GTTTGCAAAGTGGTGGAGAATCCTGCTCCAAAAGATTTCAAAGGAAAAGTAGTAAAAATCCCAATGAAAATAAATAGCCAAGAGCTTTTATGCTAACAATATAGAAGCCCAAATTCTCATTCCACTTAGTACGGTATTGTCCCTGCTGTCACTGAGCTCACTGTTATGCAAAGCTGATCCGCTTTGTTAGTAGAGCAGCTAATGGAAATCTGACTTAAGCCAGGAAGTGTAAATTTCATTCTTACTTGGCGTGGCAGAGCTATACCAGAATGAAAGTTCTAGTTGCAAAAGATAAAAATCAATGGGAGTTAAATTTGATGTAAGCTGGATTTTAAAAAGAGTAATTCTTACATAATTCAGACAATGAAAGACAGTGAGATTATGTGAGAAGTGAAGATCTGTCCGTTCTACTTTTTGGTAGATAAGGAATTTGAACATCAGGCCTGTCTCTGACTTTTACTGATTCCACTTCAAAAATACCTTCTGACCTCGAGCGTGCCACTGATTATAAAGACCAGAAGAGATCATTTCCTTCTATGCTTAAGATCCTCAGCTAAAAATTCGTGCATCAAACCTGTACCTTTTATTTGAGATACAAACTACATACAACAATGTTATCCACTCTTGAGGTAATGTTCAGCTAGCAAGGGGAACCTTTATTATTTATGCAAAGGTGCCATAAAGTTCTTCATTAGCAAAACTATATATTTTAATTCCAGTTTGAATTTGTCTTGGTTTAACTTCTTTTGGCTTTCATCATAGTTTTGGGGGTTATGACAGCATAGTCTAATATCGGTATCTAGAGATTGTATGCAGACTGTGACAAATAAATAGTTTATCTGTCTTTCAGAAAAGTATTTACATAGCTAGTATAATCTTTCCCAGGCTTTGTCTCTCAAATAATTCTTCTTGTGCTTTTGTAAATTTTTTGCAATTTGTTATTATTTTCTTTATTATTTTCAAGTAGGAGTGTCTGATTTGGACTTTTTTTTTTTTATTACTTCAGTGACTGTTCACTGTTTCCAAGAAAAGCGTAACAACAGTATCCCATGACTACTTGATTTTCTCTTCTTTTTGCATTCAAAGATCATCTTAGCTTTCTTAACCAGAATGTCATGCTGGGAGGTTCAGTGGTTGCCTGCTGTGCCCTCTAACATGCTAGATTTTAAGACATGAATGAAATGTTATGCATCACATGGATCCATAGAAAGGACAGAAATGACCTGAAATTTTTCCTCAGAATCGCGTTGCAGCAAATGCAAGTTTTACTTCAAAGCCTGTGGAACATCTTCCTGTTTTGCTTTGAAATTAGAGTGGCTTTGTAAGGGAGGCATTTTCCCCTCTAATCCTTGACATCATGTAAATTCTTATAATCTACTTTGTTTCTAACAGTCAGAGTAGGAGAGGATCCTCACTGGGAGCAGTGGAATATTTACAGGGAGGTGGATATTGAAAAAGTCACTGAGGGAAGAAACGGTTGGACTCGATGTTCTGAAGGGTATTTTTCAACCAAAATAATTCTATAAACAGTAAATTCTGGCTCAGATCTGTCTCTCCCTTGGCACAACTTTCATTTGTGACTTTGCTAGTGTTCCCATTTGCTGATAACAGCAAACAAACAGAAGTAATCATGACGCACTTTAACAGATATTTCGCTTTGCCCTTGCTGAACGTGAATGCTGTGGAACATGGTTCCCAGCTGTCTGAGCTGCAGCAGGTGAGCCTTCAGACAGCAAAGCCAAAGAGTGGTTTGGGGGCGAAGAGCAAACTGGTTGCACTGGTGTCCCACTTCATTTCAGCCTGTTGGCTCCACGCAGTGCCGTGCCCCGTGTTGTGTCTAATTCCAGAGCTAATACTGTCCCAGCAAGCTCAGCTGTCTTTGCACAGTACTGCCTGGACTAAATTTGTCTCCTGCACTGTCTCATCAATTAAATTCCATTTAACCTGCCCTTCAACTTGTCTAAGGCTTATTTTCTTCTGTAGTCACTCATCCAGCCTGCTCAGAGGTGCACAGTGAGGTTTCTTGCTCCACGCTTTAAGTGAAGTCAAAGGTCAAGATTGTGATAAATGATTTTGCCTCAAACAGGATTCCAATTAAAGTTTACAATTTATTAAATGAGTAAAGACAAGCAAACAGCACTGGGTGCACCGGGAGTCTCCGCTCAACCAAGGTACACACGTGCAAGTCCCGTTTTTGGGTTTATATCACTTCTCCTAATACATATTCATACAAAGGTTGGCCTATGCTAATGATCTCCAGGGATAGGCATGTCTTCTTTGGCGCATGCCCTCCTCACCTTCTGGAATCTTCTATGAGTTTTCCTTGGCTCACCCCCAGGATGATCCCCGACTCCAGGCGTGCGCCCCACAGACCCCTCCCACTCAGCACCACGCGGCCAGTAACAAAAACTGGTTTTCTTAGGGGTTCTTACAAGAAACAGAAACTACATACATACAATCCCGCTTCTCCCAAGCCCATGGTCATACAAGGACAAACAGAACAGTTAAAGATATTAACACGAATCAGGTGAACACATTTCACAAGATCTTGCCTTACTGATGGGTGGGGGGAACCGCTGGAGAGTGAGAGCAAATGGAATGTGAGAACCCTGTGACCCCAGTTTATACTTGCTAATAGGCACGGAATTGTGTACGTTTGAAAAAAAACATGCCAAAAGTCATGCAAGCGTGTGTATCCAGAAGATGACAAAATGAATAGCAATGAAGAAATGAACACCAATATGTGTATGCTTTAAATGTGTTAGAACCTTTCATGCAACCAAAGAAATAAAAACTATCAAGAAATAAGCCACAGTGCTTTGAACAACACTTCTATGAAGTTTTCTCTTAGTAGTGTTGGAGGGAGTGTTTATTTACAGTTAGTGAGTATGTCCCAAATTTATTTTTTAATTACATTTTGTAAATAGCCCATTCTTGGTGAGAGAGAGACTTGTAAAGTTTGGCCAGCTATCTGTTTGCTAGCAATTTCAAAATCTTCTTTAATACAAAGTCAAACACATTTGAAAAGACTTGCATAGTTTTGGCTGTGTAGTGGTGCCCCATCCCATCTGTGTGTTTGCCCAGCATGCTAAAGGACTGTCCCATTTTGTATCTTTGGCTGCAGAATCATAATGATTTTTGGTTTTGTTATTGTTCAATATGCAGCTTCCTACCTTATTTACAGTGTGTTATTAAGATTTCTGCTCTGAAGAACATTATCTCTTAAGAGCTGTTTTGCAGCATTCATCAGTGATATCTGAATGCTCCAGAAACATTAATTAATTAGTTTACCACACCCATATGAGGAGAGGTAGCTACATCATCCACATTTTCTTAGGGAAGCATGACATATGACAATACAACTGAAAATGGTATCATAATGTATAGCATATTATGTGGTAAAGCATATTTCCTAGCTTTTCTAAAATCTCTTCAGCAAGGTTAGAAAGAGGGTCATCAATATCAAAAGAAAGCATCTAATCTAGTTTCTCTAGAGCTTTTCAGCTGAAATTTTTCAAGGCTCCTTTTTTGTCACATTAAGGTGGCATTTTCAACTAATATAGCGGAAGCCACTTTCTAACCAACAGTGCAGCACCACTGCAAAATTGGGGTGTGCAGTGGATAAAAGCACTTAGGCTTCTTAGCAAAACAGTTGTAAGGTATCTATATCGACATATATATGTATCTAAGTAAAAACAAATAATAATTTTGTTCCCTGATACAGTTCACACTTGGTGAAATTTCTTAAAATATCCTCTATCCAAACCTTAAGCATGCACTCAGTATGAAAAGTCATGGTCTAAATAGCTTTACTACTAACTAAGTTCTAAAGTAGTAAAAGCAACTAGCCATGGCAAGGGTCAGATAGTCCTAACTATAGAAAGTGCTGTCTGCCCAGCCTCTAATAATGGTTAAATCTATTATGGTCAATGAAGTTACAGAGTCAAATGCAATCAAAGTCAGACTGCACCTGGCATTAGGCACTGATAGTGACAGAGCTCAGTCACACTGTGATTCACACAGTCTATTTGATGCCTGTGCTGTTGACCTTAGGAGGTCAACACTTTTTTTCCCCAGAAGTGAAACATCATGTAAGACTAAGAGGATTGTAATTTAATTGTAATCATTGACACCCCGTTGGCGTTATTCTGTTTCAGACTACATTGTAGTGCTTTTCCAGTGGGCATTAGTGAACATTCAAGAATTTAAGCATGGGCTTAATAGGTATTATGCATTTTCTTCCCGTCAGGATAACATAAGCTCACTCAGAAAAAAATATAAATAAGGGGGTAGTTGCAAGGTTTAAAGGTGATTTAGAAGTACTTTGGTATTTGGGATGGCCTTACCTATCAGTTTAACTTACATCTGCCTCTAGAAATTAACGGTTTTCAAATTGAAGTAAAAGGAGCAGCAAATAATAGTGGTGGAGTTGGAGGAAGAACATATGAGTATCAGAAAATATCTCATTTTCTATTTTCTCTGTTCCCCTAGGATTTGTGACTGAGTTCTTACATCCTCCCTCTACCACCATTCCATTTCTCTCTTGCCTACCAATGATTCCCACCATTCTACCCAGTCCCCAGATTCTCTACTTTATCCCCATTCCTTTTTTCTTCTCTCCCCTATACCCTCAGTTACCAGCAATTTCCCTGCTCTCCCAAGTTTTTCAACAAGCCCACGCAAGATGCAGCATAACATATTGCCAAGTAGTACAGATCCTTACCTTTCATAGGATCATTAATCTAGGTCTCCCTCCATTACAGAGCTGCCTTTTTTTTTTTTTTTTTGCAAACATGCAGGAATGGAGACCTTTCTTGCTCCTTCAATCTCTTTGAAGTTGATAAAATGGTTCAAAAAACAGAAAGACAAATCAACAGCATAATCACATGATTCTTATCCTCTGGGGAAATTAAACTTATCATGAGAGACCACCTCTGTGTAAATAAGTCTAATGAGCATATCATACAGGTGTCTTTTTTGTTTGTTTTATTATTTAACAGTTTGACATTGACAAGGAAGCAGGAGAGAGACAGATTTACCATCGGTATTGTATGGAACGGGCATCTGTACATTGTGCCCATGTGTTCACCACAGTCTCACAGATAACAGCTATAGAAGCAGAACATATGCTTAAAAGAAATCCTGGTAAGACCTGAATTCTGTTCTTGCTATATTTCCTCTGAGTGCCAACATTTCCTCAGGCTGAATGAAAATAATAGAGGCAGGTATACAAACATGAAGAACAAGGACACGTGCATGGGTATGTCTGGCTATGCTATAGAGAATAACCCATTTACAAAAGAAAAGTGCAGATAACTTCACTTGAAACACATTCTAGTAGCATATGTAATCCAGAAGAAGTCAAGTTCAGCACCATTTAATAACTGCTTTCAGTACCATTCCAGGAGAGCATTAGTTTAACTCCATGGATCTTAGGTTTTCTTTGGAAGAACATCTCGGCTTCAGGAGTTTTGTCTATAGTGGAGTTTCCAGTGGTGGTAGTATATTGAGGTCAACTGATGAAAGCTGAAGCTGCAATCTTTGTAATACATTTCACCAGCTTTTACAGTGTGAGGTTTATTGCTTTGCTAGAGATGATGGTTATATTCTTTTAGAAATGTAGCAAAAAGTTTCATATGCAAACCAGAATATTAGATAAGTTTGATTTCCAGGACTAATGCTGATTTTCTTTACTTAATATTGAAAGAGAAAAGACAGTTTATTTCCCTCTCAGCTAGGAGTAGCAGTATGGTTGTGGTCATGATGATCTTAGGATCTAGCCATGATAAGTTTCATAGATAGAATATTTTCTTATAGACCAAGCAGTATAGTTTGAAAAAATAGCTGAGATATTTGCCCAAACAATCAGTTTTTCTGATTTCCCCCTTTGTATTAGTCTCATAAAATAGGGAACTTACAAATGCACCTTGTCGTGTTCCATGCATGGAGTTTGAATAAAGTCATGATCCCAGTTTGATGTGTTATTAAAGTTCTCTTTAAATCAGCACAATGCTTTAGAAAGGCAAGCCACAATACTCCGTCTGCAGGTAAGCATCATGGGGGAAAAATTGCAAGAAATTGTCAATAGGATGATGAACTTAAGAGATTTTTCCTTTTTATTTTAAACATGACAGCCATGTATTGTCATGCCATGCCATGTCATATCTCTGAAAGGTCTTGTTTTTTACCAGGTGCAGAGCACTTGATCTTTGAAAATCAGAATTTTGAAGGTATTTTATATTGGCATGAGGCTTTCCCTACAACAGCTACTCCTGAAAATCATAGTTTATGTTTTGGGATTTTAGGAGACTGAAATGAGTCTGAATCCAGTTTAATTTGGGAGAGAAAATCTGCAGCCTGCTCACAAATAGAACATCAGTTGAAGCTGAAGAGAATGCCATGCACAGAGATTCACAGGCCTGAGATTTTTTTTGATTATTCTTGCAACTTTGAAGAAACCAAGTAAATATATTTAATGTTTGGGTTAAAAATTGACATATCGTGCTTCACGTTGACAGAGCTAGAAAGAAATCCAATAGGAATTGGTACCTCAATCCTGGGAGACAATTATAAGTGGAAAAATACGTTCTGATGGGAATAGTTTCTTTGTATCTTAGAGCACAGATAAACTGTGTAGGAATCTATTCTCATACTGTTTATTCTCCTTGAAGTTGTGAAATCTGCATAGACATTGGTTGTTCAGAAACGTCAGCAATCTTTCAGCAGATGGTTGAGGCTGAATTCTGCAAAGGGATGTGAATTCTGAAAGAATTTGTATGCTTCTCGATGCACTTTAAAAATAAAATTTTAGAAGAGGGATGCAGAATTGGCAGAATTAACTTTTGTGTGCATTTGAATTTATTGAGAGGAAAACTTTGTTACACATTTGTTAAATAAAAATAACTGAGGAAATGTGGTAAGTATAACAGTCTCTGTTACTTCTCATTAACATTAAACTTGGATTATAATTTAAATTATAAATCTCATCACTTGGAAAAGCCCCTTTAAAATTCAGTAGATGTGATTGCATAAAGAGCTTTTGCACCAGGACAAAGGCCAGTTTACCAGTCTAAACCTGGCAGAACAACTGCTTGCATTACACTGATTTCCCTTACTGCTGTTGTTATTTGATCAATAATTTATCAAACCATATTTGTCAAAAGTTTGACTATACAATTTTCTTGTCATGCCCACCAAGACTCCCTTTTCTTGTCCCTAAGAACCAAATCCCAAGTACCTAGCAAGTAAAGATTTCTTGGTAAAGACTGGTCTTCAGTTTGAAATGTGGTATTTCAAGACAGATCCATCAAATTTTTTCATATTGCATGGTTACTAATAAAGGTTATATTTTTATGTGCTGCTGTTTAACCTAAAGAGTCTCAGAACACTTTTCCAAGATAAAGAGCAATTGGTGATCACTTACCTTGCAGGAAATTACATATGCTGCTAAAGCAGACTGTAAATTTCAAGGAAGTAATTAAAAATGGCTGTTATATTTGCATGAAAAATGTTAAGCAAGTACACTGGGCATCATATGAAGAATTGATTATACTTCTTTTAAGATCATCTTGATATGTAGTCAACCAAAGGAGCGACAGATGTTTTAAAAACACCTCCCTAAGTCTCTCCAGAAATAAGAGACAGTTTTGTATTAAGTCAGATGCTTAATGCTAGACGTAGAAACGTCTACTTTTAGGGGAAAGGACAGAAAATCCTGAATGTCAAGCATCCTTGACTGAAAGAAGAAGTAATGTGAAGTCCTGTGTCAGTGACAAGCAAGAGACCATATTCCCCTTGGTAACACATCAGTATGGGGGGGAGTTAACCATGTGCACTGAGATCAAAGGAGACATGGACCATGTGTGGTAGGGAATGATATCTTACTGAAGGTCCTTTGGATGATGAATAAAACTTTTAAAATTACCACACTTAATAGTTGGGGTTACTTGACACCTGATGACACTTGCCAGGAGAAGAACAAGTATGAAATCAGCACTAGTACATCCTCTGATAATTAGCACTTCTTGATCCTTTGAAGATTCTTTGTATTTGAAGAATCTTTCGGATCATAAATTAGTGTAAGTCTACTGATGTCAGTTGTGTTACTATTAAATTCATCTGCTGAGGAATTGGCTTCCCCTTTCATTTCCATACCTGGCTTTCATAAGCCAACTCAAATAAAAGAAGATGGAATTCTTTTCATTTACTTCAATTAGATTTAGGGCAAGCTTTTGAATAGCTGCTGTGCTCTACCAGAAAGGTGAAGAGTGACTGAATTTCAGTGATGGTTGGAACACTGGTTGGTTTGTCCTTGTAACTCTATGTATATTCTATAAGTCTATCTAAGAAGATACTGGAAATGAATAAATATAATTTAAAGATGCTTTGGAGTCTTTGAGGATGGAAGCCAAAAAAGTGTCAAGCATACTATTTTGTGGCTATTTTTAGGAGAAATCTAACAGATTACTGAAAGGTGGTCCTTTTATAAAGTTTTGTTATATTCTCCCTTTTCTCATAAATCCTCAGAAGTCTTCACAAAACAGACCTCTCTTGTGCCACGTAGTAAACAAGTACACAGTACAGTACTGTTTCTGCTTTCAAGAGTTTTCAATCTCTAGCGATAAGCAGGCAACAGCGATACCAAGAATAAAGAGGTGAAGGGCATATTGCACAAAAAGCATATGGCTAAATGGAGACATTACTTAAGTCCTGATGGGACAAAAGGGCATGGGGAGACCTCATCGTTCAGCAAGATCTATGCTACAAGATAAAGAGCAATTGGTGATCACTTACCTTGCAGGAAATTACATATGCTGCTAAAGCAGACTGTAAATTTCAAGGAAGTAATTAAAAATGGCTGTTATATTTGCATGAAAAATGTTAAGCAAGTACACTGGGCATCATATGAAGAATTGATTATACTTCTTTTAAGATCATCTTGATATGTAGTCAACCAAAGGAGCGACAGATGTTTTAAAAACACCTCCCTAAGTCTCTCCAGAAATAAGAGACAGTTTTGTATTAAGTCAGATGCTTAATGCTAGACATAGAAACGTCTACTTTTAGGGGAAAGGACAGAAAATCCTGAATGTCAAGCATCCTTGACTGAAAGAAGAAGTAATGTGAAGTCCTGTGTCAGTGACAAGCAAGAGACCATATTCCCCTTGGTAACACATCAGTATGGGGGGGAGTTAACCATGTGCACTGAGATCAAAGGAGACATGGACCATGTGTGGTAGGGAATGATATCTTCCTGAAGGTCCTTTGGATGATGAATAAAACTTTTAAAATTACCACACTTAATAGTTGGGGTTACTTGACACCTGATGACACTTGCCAGGAGAAGAACAAGTATGAAATCAGCACTAGTACATCCTCTGATAATTAGCACTTCTTGATCCTTTGAAGATTCTTTGTATTTGAAGAATCTTTCGGATCATAAATTAGTGTAAGTCTACTGATGTCAGTTGTGTTACTATTAAATTCATCTGCTGAGGAATTGGCTTCCCCTTTCATTTCCATACCTGGCTTTCATAAGCCAACTCAAATAAAAGAAGATGGAATTCTTTTCATTTACTTCAATTAGATTTAGGGCAAGCTTTTGAATAGCTGCTGTGCTCTACCAGAAAGGTGAAGAGTGACTGAATTTCAGTGATGGTTGGAACACTGGTTGGTTTGTCCTTGTAACTCTATGTATATTCTATAAGTCTATCTAAGAAGATACTGGAAATGAATAAATATAATTTTAAGATGCTTTGGAGTCTTTGAGGATGGAAGCCAAAAAAGTGTCAAGCATACTATTTTGTGGCTATTTTTAGGAGAAATCTAACAGATTACTGAAAGGTGGTCCTTTTATAAAGTTTTGTTATATTCTCCCTTTTCTCATAAATCCTCAGAAGTCTTCACAAAACAGACCTCTCTTGTGCCACGTAGTAAACAAGTACACAGTACAGTACTGTTTCTGCTTTCAAGAGTTTTCAATCTCTAGCGATAAGCAGGCAACAGCGATACCAAGAATAAAGAGGTGAAGGGCATATTGCACAAAAAGCCTATGGCTAAACGGAGACATTACTTAAGTCCTGATGGGACAAAAGGGCATGGGGAGACCTCATCGTTCAGCAAGATCTATGCTAATGTTGAGTCAACAGGTCAAAATGGTAGAAAGCCCCTTCAATGTTATAGACAGCCAAGTGCAATAGCTTTGTAGAGTGTAAGCTGGTGGAGACCATTGTGTTAGACAGTGCTGTTCCTTATCCATGAGCAACAAGAGTACCTAAACTGTTGGTTCTTTGCTGAAAGATTTTTCTGACTCTGAAGATGTCTACCTCTGCCTTTTTCTCTGCTTTTCCAGATGTTGTCACCCCAAATGGCTTGAACATTAAGAAATTTTCAGCGATGCACGAGTTTCAGAATTTGCATTCCATGTACAAGGCTAGGATCCAAGAATTCATTCGAGGTCATTTCTATGGGTATGCTTTTACTTTTCAAATAATTAGCAATGGTTGTCCAACACTATTTAAGGTGAAGCAGGAAGACTAACAAGTACTTCGTAGAGGACATGAAATGTTACCACCTTATTCCAATAGCGGTCTGGGATTTCTCAGTCAGAGGCTAAAGGGATTTTAGACAGCAGTTCTGCCTCTGCTTACCTACAGATTGTGGGATCAGGCAGAAGGTCTTGATTTCTTCATTATTTACCCAAGATGCAGTTTATCAGATTAAGATAGTCATCTTAATTTAAAGAACAGCAGAAAAGCCTCACTTTCGTTAGGGATAAGAAAGTCTACCAGAATCTAAAGCTGTTGTGTGTTTTGTTTGATTTCGTCTTGAGAAATGCTTTGTGCTTGTCTGTTTGTTTGCTTGGTTTCAGCCACCTTGACTTCAGTCTTGAGAAGACCTTATTTTTCTTCATTGCTGGGAGATACGAGTTTTCCAACAAAGGAGCTGATATGTTTCTAGAAGCCTTATCAAGACTAAACTTTTTGCTGAGGGTAAGAAAGCTTCTGCAAATGTAGACGACATAGAGCTGAAACTTACCATACTGTGGAAGGCACCTGCAAGAATTTCTATGCCATACTCTGATTTATAGGAAAATAATGATGGGATATTCAGAGTTTTCATAAAGCTCTCTCACTGAATCATCGGAGTATATAATGATCTCAGTCTGCTTAAAAATAATTCATTATATAGTTCAAAAAATTAATCCATGGTTATCTCTCTTGTTCTTAGAGAAAAATACTGAAAATATGATTCAAGAATTTACCCTTCTAGGTTTATATATTATAGGTTTATATATTATAAGGCAAATAAAATAATCCTTTAATGATGCAATTTTAAAATACCTTTTCATATTCATTAGGACCTGACCATTATCTTTTAAATCTATAAGTACTATTATCACATTGGATGGAAATCTTGCATTAAAATTCACAGTGTGGCAGTGGCCTGATGAATAAGCATGGGGTAGCCACTCATTCCTCTATGCATCTGTTTCCTCAGGTAAAAAGCGAGTGCAATGCGTTTAAGTGCCTTTGTGGAATACTTTAATGAAGAGAATTCCTAGGCCTTGTCATGACCAAAGAACAGAGCACTTGCCACCTCCAAATGAGGTCATATAAATGTCTCCATATGTGTCCCACAGACTGCTACATTTAAAATAAAAAAAAATTAAAATGCTAATCCGTTTTCAATCATCTAGCAAGGATGAACCGGCTGTTGTCCCAGACTCTGTCTTTTGTACTCTATTATTTAAATTATATAGAAAATGTGGTTAAAAATCTTGATGCTATATTGTCAGCAGGGCTGAAAAAATATTAATTTTCAAAGCCCTAAGTACACTTGTTCTACCACCACCATTAGTGCCTGTGGAATTTCTGGAAATACTTAATCCTTTCACTCACACAACAGGTCACCTCACATAAGTATTTCTTCCACAACTTTGACAAATAACTGACTTTTGTTGTTTGGCAATGTTGTGCAACATCAGCTCCCTTTATAGTGGCATTTCCATAGCTATAAACTATAAATGCTGATAATGTGGAAGATGTTATGTGGTAAGAGGGAAAGAGTTCCTTGAGCAATGATTGCAGCAATCTCTTCTTGGATCTAATGATTTATATCAATGACAAGCTAGGCTGATGGAAAGTCAAAGGAAACTGAGGCTAGTTTTCCAAAGCTCTCTAGAACAGTGTACTGGGACTTGCTTCTCCATAAGCTGAGCCTGGCTTTATTGCATTACTCTTCCAATGCATGTTATCACCTGTTTAGCTGTTCAAAGAATGTTTGCTGTGTAATTATTTCAAGAAGTAATTCCACTGGGAACAGCAGAATACCTGTAGTATTTGTGAATCTGGGAATGAGGTGTTCAAAAGACGGGTTGATGTAGTGCTGGGAGGTATGGTTTAGTGATGATGCTCCTTGTTTGTTGTGTGGGTGTCTATTTTTGTCAGTTAGGTTGACGGTTGGACAAGATGATCTTTAAGGTCCCTTCCAACCTAGAAGATTCTGTGATTCTTAAACAATTTTCAGTGATGAGCCAGAACCTAAAAAATACGTAGTGTTTGATGGAATTATTTTATTTTATAGAGTCCTTTTCCTTTGCTACTTGAAAACTTTACTAACGTTTTGGAAATAAAATATGAATGTTGGGACAGATTGTTAATACACGCTGAGATCATAGCATGATGGACTTTGAACCTGCCTTGAAGAGAGGGAAGGAAAGAACCTTAAAATGATAGATGACTCCCATAGTTTATTTTAAAATGTACATTTCCCTGTACATCAGTCTTAGAGAAGGGATGCTCATAGCATGTTTGTGTGTCCAAAGTTTAAAATGCAGCCAATTCAGAATAATTTAGTTTTTACAGCTCTGAACAGAGTTCACCCTTAGCTTTTCTTTAAGTAGTTGCTGACAGGAGTACAACCTCATTCTGCTCCATGTGAGGTCCACGTGCTCAGGGACTTGGTATTCTGGATCTTGCTAGTGCACAGGAGAAAACAGCGAGTGAAACCATCTTTAAGTAAAGACTCAGATTTTGCAGCCAATGATTTTTGCCTTTGCAGTATCTGGATGTGAGATGAACAAGAAGTTACTTGCAGCTTTTTTGTCTGGCAGGTTCTTTGCCAGGGGTTTGGGTAGAGTGTGGTTGCTATCACGCATGCTTTCTGCCCATGCCTCTGAGGCACTAGAAGGTAGTTCTGCTTGCTGCTGTAGGGAATCCCTCACCCCATGCCTGGGCATACCACAGCTAGTAAACTAACAGCTAACTCCTGTGAGCCAACAAGATTTGTGTCAGGTGAGAAAACATCTGTTGAATTTTTATTTTTTTGCAATTTATGTTCACATCCTAAGCCATGGCCTCTAAACCAAGAAGATCTCTATTGCCCAAAGTGGAACTGAGTGACATGTCTTTACCTGTATCTTATCCTCAGCTAGATGTTGACTTGACAAAAACTTCATAGCTAAAGGAAGAAGTATAAGATCAGAGCCTCCCTGGACAACCAACCAAAGTGCATCGGCTTTTCTACTGACTAATTCTTACTGTTAAAGATGGCTGTCATACCTTGTAGTGAGAAGGGTTTTTTTTTCTCTCCATCTTGTGTCCATGTAGGTTCATAAGACTGATGTTACAGTTGTTGTGTTCTTCATCATGCCAGCAAAGACAAACAATTTCAATGTGGAAACCCTGAAAGGACAAGCAGTCCGGAAGCAGCTCTGGTAATTGCCATTCTCACTGAGGGCCTTGTACAGTCCATTGAGGAAACATGCAAAAGTTTCTGATGAAAAATAATGCTCTTTCTTCTCCGGTAAAATTGGGGATTGTGGGTAACTGGAATGTATTTGTAGGGATGACAGAGATGGGAATGATAAATAAGGGCAAATATTTCTCTTTTTTGTCCTAGGTTACTTTTAGTAAACTCGTCTTGCCGTTCTTTGTAACAAGTTAAAAAATAGTACTTGTTTTGCAGTGACAAAGTTGAAGGTTCTAGAAAAATCAGTGTTCTGGATGTCTTCTGACTGTTTCTAATACTCCCTTTGGACACACCATTGAGCTTCCACAAAATAAGGACCACCTGCTAATTTGTCAGAGTGACCTTCTCTGCCACCAGTGGGAAAAAGAAATTAAATACGTGTCTTCATTTATTTAGAAATATGGAAATTGTACTGTTTAATTCCACAGAATAACAGTTGATAACAGTTTGTAATATAATTTTCTATGTAGCCTACAATAAGCAATGGTGATACCCAAGCAGTAAAGCTTAAAAGCGAACATTGTCACAGCCCTTCTCAGTTTAACTTTTTCATTTTACAATTTCCCAAAATTGTAAAATGCAAATGTAAACTGCAAAAAAGCAAAGCAGGAGCAGACTTAACCTTCACCTGTTATGGGATTCCACATAGGAAAAGATACATGTTTTGAGGTACTTCTAAACTAATTCATGGCAAAACTGAAGGTTGGAATTCATAAATAAAATCAGTGGTGGGTTATCAAGAATTAATTTTGCTTGAAAAAGTGAAAAATGCCATTTCACTCAATGTATTTGCACATTAGTTATCTAAGCAGGAAGTGGAAATGTGCACCTTATCAGCTGGCAAGAGCGGTTAAACTCTGCTGCAGAAGTAAGGAAGCTGTCTTAAAGCTAAGGAACTAAAACCCACAAGACCTAGCTTCTGCTTTTATACCTGTGTCTCTGATTAACCTCTTTCTGATGCCAGTTCTATATTTATAAAATGATAAAAATCTAAACAACTTAGAGATCTGTAGATGAAAGTAAGAGGATACCATTTTTCTTATTATCTCATTAACTGCCTCCAGCAGATGATCTATACCTCAGTTTCTGGATATCAGTAATCAAGTTGAAGTCTTTGATTAACAGATACCAAACCTGCACAAAAACAGTGACAGAAATAGTTTAACAAGGATAATTGAAATCATTTCGCTTTTGCCATATCTGAAAAAAGAGACAGATATCAGAAATCTGTCTGCTCTCTAGATTATTTCTGGAGTCACCACACAGCAAGTGCTTGGGACTTACAGGAAGCATTCTACCTGGTTACCACTCTGGAAACAGGTACCACAAATGTAGAGGTTGGAATTAATCATCCAAGTCTGGCTTCCTAAAAAGTAATGCATCTGAGCTGCCTTCACTGCAAGTGGAGAGTGATCGTTCATCACAAATGATGTTTCATCCTGTATTACTTCAGAAAGAGATGAGTGAAGGGAATCATTCTCTGAAACAGACTGTCCCCCTCTGCGGATGCGTGGAGGGTCTTGTGCAACTAGCTTAAACTGCAGATTTTTAAACAGGGGTAAAATAGCCAGTTTTTAATGAGAACTCTGTACACAAGGACTGTAGGAAAATAATGTGAGTGCGGTGAAAAACAGCCATGCTTGCAGCATGTGCTTTTGGCCTCTACTTTGTCTTTGATGTAATGTTTGAATATAATGCAACAGGTAAATATTAAATAAATAATATATGGGTATTAGGAATGTTTGAATTAAATGAAATGCGCAAAGGTTTTTTCCCTGTTGTATCTCTACTACCTGGTTATTTCTCTGGTACTCGGTAATGCAGGCAGAATAGCAACAGTAAAGGTAAACCTAAAGATGTGAAATCATGCCAAAAATGCTGTTTCCAGCTATTCTTCCCACTGTGCTCTGTGAAAAGCAAAAGACCCTCTGCGTCATCATATGTAGCGTTGTCATAATCTGGAGTGCCAGGATAAAACCACCTGATACCAGTATTACATAATAGTATTAGAGGATTTTAAGGATGCCGCAGAAATTACATACAAGAAGAGGTTAGTACTTATAAAGAAATAGACAATCATCTGGGATATAAAATCCTTTGTTTCCTCTGTTTCTAAAAAAGCAGTCTATCCTATCTGGATTCAGTTTTGGATATTGTTCATGTCATGAGTCTATGAAAATGTATTCATGAGGGGACTAGTTTGCTGGGATTTGGATCAATTTGGTTTAACATTTAGCTGCTTTACAACTCATCCAAAATTAACTCATCTACTGTTGTGTCTTTGTGAGTTGGGAGAGAGCAACTAACAGGTATGTGGATTCTCAGCCTTGAAATTCTCAGCCTTAGGATTTTACTTAGGATTTCACTTCACAAGTTTTGTCTTAGCCCAAAGTATAATTCTTAGAAATCAAAACGGCAGGAAATGTTCCATGAAGTGGGTGGTTTACTCAAATTGAGAGTGCATTTGCTATTTTGACAACAGCACTTTCAGGATAATATAGATGAATCTTTGCATTTGGAAGAGTTGTTCATTGAAGGGTGGGGTTTTTTTAGCTAAAATATAACATTTGTCTGGTACAGGCTTTACTATTAGCTTAAAACCTGGCCTGAGCTTTCCAGGAAGTTTTTTTGGTTTGCAAACTAATTTATGGCAAACTACCTTTTAGTCTAACACTTGTTTTCAAAGTCTTTGAGTTATGAAATAGGGCAGAAAGTGATGCAAGATCCCTATTTGTTTAATTTTCTACGAGGTCAAGTGAAACTGGAGACCTCTCAGTCTTGATTAGTGTTTAATGTTTCTTTCCAATGATCCAAGAGATCAAGTTTCTCTATGTAGAGTCATACATAAGCTCTCTTTTTCAGAGCTGGGGTGAAAGTGTGTTCTGCTGATTAGAGCTAAATATTATAAGTAATCACTAGTGAGGTCTGCTTCTGGTTTTCACAGTGTATTCATCTTTGGATGCAGGTCAAATTCTCAGTTGTGCTGAAATCCATCAGTATGGCTGCTGGCTAGATAAGAGAGCTGTGAGAACTAGACCTCTGTCTGCTGCTGCATTTTTGATTCCATCCATATACATGAAAGCACAATTTAATTTCCAACAGCAGGCATCTCTTTTATTCTGTCTTTGTTCTGGATTCTCCTGGTTTTATACATATATTTATTTCTTTTCCCAGGGACACTGCACAATCTGTGAAAGAAAAGTTTGGAAAGAAACTCTACAATGCCCTGCTCAAGTGAGTGTATAGGTTATTTTGCTTTGCCTTGCAGAGCCACCTATTGAGCTGGCTTATCTGTGGTGTTTCCATGCTTCTCTTTCTGTAAGAAATTTTGACATCCATAGGAAAGGCACAGGAGAAGGATACGGGACCCTCTGTTCCATATATAGGTTACTTGTTCAGTAGGCAAATCACAGAGAAAAAATTTAAAAGTGCTAGCAGCCCATTGTAGAAAGTGTCCTAAGAGAGATGGGGGATGTCTGAGTAACACAAAGGCTTATTCACTGTCAAAAATTAACTACCTCAGCTTAAAAAAGTGCCAGAGACGAAGGGATATTTATTATTGGCTTAATCATATCCTTTCAAAAGACAGTTGGAAGCGAATGACCCAAATCACAAATGAGATGACTGGAACTTCAGCAAAAACAATGTGTGTCTAAATAACAGAAAATAAGAATTCTTTAGCTTTTTTAGAAGTTAATTGGAAGGTCAGCAAGTGTATGGGAGAACAAAATATAGGCAATATAGAAGGGCCATGAAAACAAAGGAAAGATTCATGTTGACATCAGCAGACTTCAGATCAGATCTTGTTTGCCATTTCTTCGTTTTCTTTATACAACTGTTAATAAGTCATTTGGTAAAATAGGCTCTGTGTTGCCTCTGCAGAGGAGAAATTCCAGACTTGAACAAGATTCTTGACCGAGATGATATAACCATTATGAAAAGAGCCATCTTTTCAACTCAGGTCAGAAAATGTGTTATTTACACAAATATCTAGTAGAAATGATAAACCTGACTGTGTACAAAGACTGTGTATGACATATAGTGATATTTTCATGCATTTGAAAAGTTTTCAGCAAATATACTTCTCAGCAGTAACATTTAAAGATCAGCTGTGATTGTTTTTAATGAGAGTATGAACCAAACTAGTTCTTTTGGGGAATCCATGGATATTGCCCCAGTCACATGCAAGACTCCAAAATTCCTAATTCTTTTCTTCTGCACTAAGTGTGAACTTTGCAATGTTCCTGAACCCTGGCTTCTTCCATTTACCTTAAATATCTAAAATAAGTCTCTTAAGGACACATAACGCATTGACTAAAAACCTTTAAAATCAAATGGTAGGCCTTTCTAACAGTTAGTACAAATGCATTTGTTTTGAGGTAAATTAAACAAGTCCTGTGACAGATTTTATCGTGTCATTTGTGGCCTTGGTTATATAGAAGACAACATGATATGAGCATAACTTTCCTTCCGTACCTTAAAATGCAAGAGTAAAAACTTGTCCACATGGATGACAAAATCTTCCACTAAGCTTAGAAAATGGGAACACGACTTGTTTGCCAGTAGTTTTGTCTGGCTTATGGGTTGCCTTTTTTTTCTGTTTAGCGACACTGTCTGCCTCCAGTTACCACCCACAACATGATTGATGATGGCAATGATCCAATCCTCAATACCATCCGACGCATTGGCCTTTTCAATAACCGGACAGACAGAGTAAAGGTACATTCTGTCATTTTCATTTTAGATAGAAAATGGAATTTTTTTCAACAGTCTCAGTCTGGATCATTAGCACGGGGACTGCAGTCAAATTCTTGATGGGCTATATTTTCATTTTAGATAGAAAATGGAATTTTTTTAAACTGTCTCAGTCTGGATCATTAGCATGGGGACTGCAGTCAAATTCTTGATTGGGCTATACTAATATGTTATACTAATAGAGCACTTCTTCCTTCTTCCTCCCTTTCCAGGAATAACAACTAGTCACTCCACAGATATCCTCAGTTGCTGTTTAACCAAGTTCATTTCAAGTTAGAAATCTGATGTTAGGGAATTGTTTCCATTGCTGCCTACTGTACTGAATGTGGAGCTACTACTCCTGAAATCCAGAAAGTGCCCCAGGTCGTTTGCACCCAGATGTAAAACTCTGTAATAGATTCATTTGCTTAAAACTGGAGGTCCGGGGTTTGAGCGCAGATGTTTCTGAAGTATTGGTTCATCTCTTAAGAACAGCAGCCTGATAACCAGCATTTGCTGTAGAAGGTAACCAGGGCTTTGATCCTGAGCAGAAATACTTCCTGTTCATGCTGTACTCATGTTTACATCAACCGTTGAAACTAAATGTATGTAAATAATTCCTTTCCTTAATTCCATGTCTATCTTGCCAGAAATGATCAGCTCCCACTCTCATGAAACTTCCAAAGCTCTCTGGCAATCTCTGGCATTCTCTCTGTTAACTATGACCATCTCATCCTCTATATATTCAAAGTAGAACCTAAAATTACAAGTACTTCCTCTTCCAAACCTTCTTTTTAAAGTCAGATCCATAGTATTCTGACAACGACATATCACTTGTTCTCAGTGGTTTGGTTTTTAAACCTAGGACAGTAACTGAGTAAATGTTCTCCTCAACTTCCTTGTTGCTTCTTCCTGGTTTACCATATTCTCTGCTAAGCCTGTATCTCCAATGAGCTCTGAGAGCATAATATGGTAATAATAAACTAGATGTAACAAAAGTCAGGTGGAGGGATACATCTCATTAGAAAGCAGATACCATATAACACCGGAGACAACTGTTCCTTCTTCTCAACAGACTTGATTGGCTGGCTATGCGTCAACTTTGTATGAAATTGTCTTTACCACTGGAAAATTACCTGATGCATGAACTGGTGTAATACTTAATAAGTTGAACATCACGGACAAAAATTCTGTAACCTTCAATTGGAAAGTCATTTTCAGAGATACCCATGCAGACACAGCTGGCATGTGAAAAATAGCTTCAGCAATGCCAATGGAAAATCTTATTTGAATCACTGAGATCATATAAGCTTCCATAATGAGTTTACAGCCCATTTACTCATTGCATACATTCATGTGTTGATTTTCTCAAGTGAGTAGTATGACTATTAAGACTATTAAGAAAGAATAAAAGCATATCCTTGACATGGAATAAGACTGCAGTATGTCTCTATGGAGAAAAAAGCCCAGAGAAGGTTAAACCCTTCCCTCACTCTTCTTCTTCCCAAAGCTAAGTGGACAGCACACACAAGGCACCTCTCTACTTAGCAGTGGAATATGGGGCAGTGACCCCAAGCCCTGCAGAGTCATGCAGATAAATTAGCTTGGGTCCTGAAAGTGGACATTAGCCCAAGTTAATAAGCTTTGTCTTTCAGCAAGTTTAATTAGCCTAGGAAATGAATTGTGTTGATGGGGCTATTATATGTCTGGTTTCAAAATTCTCTCAGTTCTTGAGAGATTGTTGAGTATTCCTGTATTTCAGCTATATGCTGTGAAACTCAGAAGTGCTGTATCCTCCTGAGGCCTCCTCTGGAAGAAGAGATCCCAATACTCTGTACCTTGGTACAACAGACCAAAAGAACAGATTTAATATTTCTAAATGCCTCAGCCTTAGACATAATTCTCAGTGCATATGATCTTGCTTGGTCAACAAGGATAAAGCTGAAGACCTGTCCAGAAAAAGGGTTTATTATCAGTACTATTTCCAGAAGAAGTTGCCCACAGGCAGGATACATTTTAGTGTGGAAAGTAAGTTAGATAACAGATGGCAAAGGAAGTGTTATCCAGATTCTTGGGACAGACCAGAGTGAAGAAATTGCTTAAGCTTATTGATAGTTAAAATGTTTTGATGATGGTTTTCTTTCATCTCTAATGTAAGTTTTGAATATCCAGGTGATCCTACATCCGGAGTTTCTTTCTTCGACAAGCCCGTTGCTGCCCTTGGACTATGAGGAGTTTGTTAGAGGCTGCCACCTTGGTGTATTTCCATCATACTATGAACCCTGGGGTTACACTCCAGGTAGGCAATTTGTACACTTAACTAGTACCAAAAGATGACTACTTGTTCTGTTGATGCAGAATAGCTTTGCAGCCAGTTTCTTCTGGAGTGCTGAAAAAACTCTTTTGGCTCATTTCCTCTGCAGTGCAAAGGTCTTACTACTGACAAAAATTGGGGGGCAGGTGGTATAAAATGTCATCTGCTGGCTGACAACTACTCATATCTCTCCCTGCACTGGACCCTTTCCCATACTAACATACATTTTTTTTTGTCTGTAGCTTTAGAACAAAAAATACATTTTTAAACTTAATTCTTAACTTGATTCAAAGATTATAAAAGAAGATTTAAAGGAATGTACATATGGAAAAAAGTATGGCAAGAATTCTAATGCTACCAGCCAACATACTTCAGTGGATTTAATTCAAGATAACAGTTCAGTTTGAAAGAAGTATGTAACACCACATCTAAGATATTTACCACAAATACATGCAGTGGTAGAGGATCTCTCAGAATTAAATGAAAATTTTTAAAGATATAGAGAGCGTCTAGCTTCTGACTTAAAAAAAATTGCCCCAGATTTACAAAAGGCCCTTAACACCTGATGAAATCAGCGCAAACTGTGGACTTGAATACCTATGAAAATTGAAGCCTAGGTGCCTGCCCGGGTTTTTTACGTCCCACAAAATACCTTCTGGAGTCTTGATACACACCTGAAAGTTGGGGTGCCCCTCTGAAAAGCATTTGTTGTAAGCCAATGAATCAGAATAGAAATTTTGCAAGTTTGGCCATTCTCCAGAGCTATTTCTCTCAAATTAAGAGAGCTATTCAATTCCAAGTGAGACAACTGTCATGCATTCCAGCAATTTCTCTTCCTATTTTAATCTCGACTAAGGTGTAAAGTGTAACAGCCAGGGATGATTTTGCAGTGAACATTAAAGTAAAACTGGACAGAAAAGTTAGACACAGCAGTTTTGAGGAAATCTGTGATTTACACTGGTTAAAAGGATAGTTTCTCTTTCCATTACTAGTGCAAAAGTGATTCTCTTTGTTGCTACCCATTTAATTCTCCCAGAAACAAAAAGTGATTTTTGAAGGTAAATTTATAGCTCTATTTTATAGACACCATTTTCATTGTCACATTAATGAAGGACATGTAGATGGCTTTCAGCATGTCAGAGACAAGCATATTTACTTTACCTGCATGTTTAGTTTAGACTTAAGTTCATTGGCAAAAACTCTTTAAACCTGAATAAACAGTTATACTTACTCACAGCAAGGATCGAAATAACTACAAAAGATACATGCATTTTCTAATTTTATAAAATTAGCTCCACGTGTACTTTGAATGCAGTCCTGAGTTAATGATGGGATCTATTGGGGGTTTTTCTTGCTATAGGGACCAGTTTACAAACAATGACTATAAACTTAAAACTTAAGAGATACAGTTTTGTAAACAGTTGTGAACAACTAATGAACAGATGTGTACAGCAAGCTTCAATTTAAAATCCAAACATGATCTAGACAATATATTGCAGTTCTGTGCTTCAACACTGGACTCCAGAAAGTTTTCAGTTTAGTTGCTAGGAAACACAAAGATGTTCGCAAAAATAGTGTGACATTTTTTCTTTAAGATTTCTTTTTCTTTCTTTCTTTTTTCTTTTTCTCTGAATCCACAGCAAAGCATAATAGTTTTCACATTTTTGGAGCAGCTCTAGTGTTATGGGACTTTCTGCCTGCCATTTTCTTTTTCTTTTTTTCTCTCAAGGTGAAATCGTTCAAAGCATATTTCCCTGAACCCTTTTTGTCTCTTTTGGCAGCTGAATGTACTGTGATGGGCATTCCCAGTGTAACCACAAACCTTTCTGGATTTGGCTGTTTCATGCAGGAACACGTTGCTGACCCAGCGGCTTATGGTAAAAATTCTAAGACCGTATCAAAATACCACCCCTAAGTTAGGAAAGCAAGAGGCACAGCAATGATTCTGTTACTCCTCGGTTTCGTGCTTTCACTAGTGAAATGGAGTTCATTGAGGGAATATATTCAGAGCTCTGAACATCTCACTGTGTTAAACAAGCCATTCAAGCATTCATATTTATCCAAACCCTTTCCAGGTTCTCTCTTGTCTCCTTTATCCTTCCTAACTCAGCATTCCTCATACCTATTCTGGAGTCTACCAGCACTTCCCTTTAATGCTTCTGTTACAGGGTAACCCTTCAAAAGAAGCAGTGAAAATCTGCTGCTCTTTGAATAGTCCAAGAAGTATGCACGGGGACCTAGAGGCCAGTGAAACTTGCCCCCATCAGGCAAACAGAAATTATCATGTACGCTAAAAAGTAAACGTGAAAATAAAAGGAACCTACTTAACAAATAAGAATCTGCTCATAAAGGTTTAGAAATGGTTTGTGATTGGCGTGTGGTAAGGAGGGGGGTAGCCATCTCCTGGTCTGTCAAGACAATATTGACAATGTGCCCAAACTAGGCCTCTTCCTAAGTACCTGGGCTTGTCTGCACCATCAGCCGATGGTGGCTCCACACTAGTACCAGCTATATACATGCTCTAGCTCTAGGCAATCCTGCTTCAGCAGGGGAGTTGGACTAGATGATCTCTGTGGTCCCTTCCAACTCTAAAATTCAGTGAAATACCCTGACCCAGAGGCAGGGGTAGAGCCAGTTGCAAAATAGAGCTGCGCCTGCCTGTGTAGACATGTCTTTGAGAGCCTTCAGAAAGGTCACAGACTGAGAGCACAGCTCACTTGCTCTTCTCTGACAAACCATAGATGTGAGTGTTGACATAATTTACTGTACATTTTCCCCCCCAGGGGACACCAGGCACTTCCTTTAAGGTAGCTGTGTGTCTGTCTTGTCCATTAAGATACCTGAGGCCTAGTACGCTCTTCTTCACACCGTACTGGTGTAAGGAAGGTGGCAAGAATAAAGTATTGATCTTGACAAACTATGGAGAGTCAAAGTTTACCTCAGCCCTCTCTCTGCCAGAATTGTGTATTGACTGATGTATGTGAGTTAACTATCTCTATGGAAATGCTTGTATTTCTAGAGAAAACAGTCTCTCTCATGCAGGCTGATTCTGACCATCCACACTTCTAAATTCTACTGCATACTAGGAAAGCACTACATTATTTTCTTTAAGCAGTCAGTATTTTAAAAATCATGGGAGACAAAAATTATATATCCTTATCCAGGAACTCTGGAATCCTATTGGACATACTTAAAAACAACATAGCCTCTGAGTTTTGAATAATTTACTGAATTTCAGCCTGAAACATGAAGAAAATTAAAACAAAAATACCTATTTCTCTGCATCATTCCATTCCATCAGAATAGTAACAAATGTTCCAGTCATAGCTGCCTTTTAACATTAAAAAGAAGATATAGTATTTGTAATGTTTGTAAGACTATGTGACAGAAGGTAGAATGGAAATGTAAGAGGTCAGATCCCATTTTCGGTCCCGCTCATCTTCACGTCGTTTGTGTCCTTCAGGAATCTACATCGTTGACAGGAGATTCCGCTCCCCTGATGAATCCTGCAACCAGCTGACTCAGTTCCTCTACGGATTTTGTCAGCAGTCCCGTCGCCAGAGGATCATCCAAAGAAACCGAACTGAGAGGCTCTCAGATCTGTTGGACTGGAGATACCTAGGCAGGGTGTGTGAAATTATGTTACTTAATTAAAAATTCCAGACACATTTGGTCTAACTAGCAGTCTTCAGCATCGTGCTACATTGCAAGGAGTCTTCCCTGTTCTGAAAAGCACCTCTCAAAGGTGCTGAAGGCAAAGCCTGCCTTTGCGCTTCATGTGTAATGCTCCCGTTCACCACCCATAAGGAGAGACACGACTCAACTGAATAGGTTAGAGAGGAAGACAGTCACACTGAGGCCTTGCAAAGGTCATGCAAAAGACAGTGTAAAAAGCTTGTGCCTCTGACAATACTGGCAACACTACACGAAGTGGGATTTGTGCTCCAAAGCCATCTGGACTCTTTCAAAAATCCTACGTGTTCTTCCTAAAATGTTTCTGGGCCTTGTGGCTCCTCTAAACTCCTAAACTGTCCCTGTGGCTTAAAGGCAAAATAGTGTTTTTAATTTGACATAGGAAACACTGCAGTACCACCTGCAGTGTCATACTTCAGTCCACAGGAGCAAAGAACTGGATGCACATATATCAGTTTTGTAACTATTTTGGACCTTGTCCTGCCCTGATATCTGTGTTAGAACCTTTTTGTTTATATAGTTCACAGCACAGCACAACACCCTGACACCACAAACTTTTTTCAGCGCATGTGACGGAGAGTCGTGAATATAGTGGATCCATAAATACTTTTGCCAAAGTCTTAAGAGTCACCAGCTCTCAGTGAACGGATCCATAAATACTTTTGCCAAAGTCTTAAATACCAGCTCTCAGTGAATGTCTTTGTAACTGTTACACATGCTTCCTATGCAAGGATGAGTCCAAAGTTTATGTGTATACACATGCATAATTAAAGATGTAAATTTTCCTGGTTAGAAAAGAGGCAGCTCTCTCTTGAGGATCAAAGAATACCTATCACTCAAGAAGAACTACGCTGACTGAAACAAGTGCAGGGTTCTGTCTTGATACATCTTAGTCTTACAGAAAACTTACTCAGCTTCTGTTCCAGACTACTTTAGTGTGAATGGGTCAATATTTCACAGCAATGTGTTCATTACAAGCAGTGGTATCAATTGGATTCTCCTTAACTGAAAAGATTTTTAGGCTTTGTTCAGCATCATCTTTTAGATGATACTAATTTTATATTAATTTTTTCCTGCTTAAATCTACCCACGACTTCCTTGACTTGTAAAGGCTTCTCTTTTATGTTGCAGTATTACATGCATGCCAGACACTTGGCTCTCAGCAGAACATTTCCAGATAAATTTGAGATGGAACCAAGTGCTCCACCAAAGGTAAAGTCTGCTTTTGGAGCAGAGATCATCTGCATTTTAGCTACTTTACAAAGAGAGAGAGAAAGAATGTGCGTGTGACAGAAAGAGAGAGAAGAAAGTTAGCAAGTGTTGTTTTAACTGAAGGGGAGTAGGAACTCATATTTAAAAGCTCAACAAGACCCAACCTTCAGTCAGGAGTTTTAATGGTATTAGATGCAAACACTTAGATGCAAACACTTGGGGTACTAGGTGCAATACAGGAACTGTTCCTCAGGTGATTTAGAGTCACCTGGATGGGACTATGCCACTTCAGACCAGTTGAGGAACTGGCCCTTGAAATTCCTATTAGAGGAGTGGCAGCTTCTAATTTTTCTTCTCATAAAGGCCATGGAGATGTTCTGCACAAACTAAATAGAAGGGAAGATGGAAAAGGATGTTCTAGGGAAAGCGAGGCAAAGTATTGCCTTCATCTATACATGGTATGTGAGGAGGAGGCTGTGGCTGGAACTACAAGGGGTCAGCTTGAAGGCACACCTTCAAACAGTTCTTACATAGTGCATATTAGCACTAATTTGAGAAAGGAGGCTGCTCTGATCCAATGTAAGAACCACGTTATTTGAAACCTCCAGAGAGCAACTCATTTTTTTAAATAAGAAGGAGGGAGGCTCAGGCCAAAATTCCTTGGTTGGTTCTAATTTTGCATATATTGACCTTATAATGAGAACACTGTTTTAAAACTTCAGATTGCAATCTGAATTTCAATAAGCACATCATAACTGTAGAGGACAGAAGGATTTCATGTTGTGTTCACGGTTTTAAGGCTCAGTAAAGGTAGTCATGTTTTGCAAAAAGTGGTGCTGGAAGCACAGCTTATTTTTTATGGCACAGGCTAAAGATTACTGCCATACAAGCACGTACTTAATGGCTGAGAAGGACTAAGGGGACCTGGTTTCAAAGGAGTTTAATTTTAGAGTGCAGAGTATGTGCAATCCACCACTGATTTCCTTTGAAGTGTTGATAGCCTTAAATTGCTGTATACAACCAATTGAGGAATGCTGTGATAATATATACAACTTGCTTCTCTCTTTGCCAGACGGAAGGTTTCAGGTATCCCAGGCCTTCATCAGTGCCACCGTCACCTTCTGTCTCTCAGCATTCCAGCCCTCACCAGAGTGAAGGCGAAGATGAAGATGAGGATGAAAGATACGATGAGGATGAGGAAGCCGAAAGGGATAGGCAAAACATCAAGTCTCCCTTTTCCCTTGGAGTATTGCCACAAGGAAAAAAGAAACAGCATGGAGAATACAGGAACTGAATTTGTTGCTCTCACCCTGGTAGGGTCTCTCCATCCATTCAACAGTTTGTCCTGTAGGCTTGGCAAGCTTTGTATTAAGGACAGATATAATTAGGGGAATCTTAAATGTCACTTGAGTTACACCGTTGGAAAGCCTAACATTATTTCACCCTGAAAGTAGTTTAAATGACAATTTCTCTGTGCCCTTTGAGGTAGAAGAGCTTTCTCAAGTTTAATAAACCTAGAGAATGCGACAATCCCTTCAGGAGCTTATACAAACTGCAGATCATACCTTTGTCTACGTAATCGCCTATGTTAATCATAGTCCATGCTGGTAACTCCATTATGGGTGTCCCAAATGTGTTCCTGCTTCATTTATGTTCCCCCTTTTCCCCTCCAAAACTAATATGAACTTTAAGACAGAGCACAACAAATTTAGAGAAAAAAAAGTCTTACACTGGGGAAACCTTGGCAGGGTTAAAAAAGATACACTGAAAAGAAAATGGTCTTTCTTTTTCCTTATGCTGTTTATTATAAGCTTACATCATGTAAAACTTTTTTTTCAGCACACAGTCTTGATCCAGTGGTAAAACATACTTCCTGTGGAACAATGTAAAGTCTTATGCAGTGGGCATTTGAATTTGAGACAAATAAAGTCATCTTTCTGAAGTCATTTAGACCCACAATAAACAGCAGACCGTTTATTTTCTGGTTCCTCTGGTATGTGTCTTTTATTGTTTTCATCTTGTCTTAGATTCTGAGTTTGTTAACAAACTAGTTTGAGAGGAAATGAATGTGACTCGGCTACAGAGAATTACAGCATTTCCTTAATTTCCTTAATCCTTTAAGGTAATGCCTTCTCCTGCCGACAAACCAATATGCCACAGAGCAATGTGACAACATTTAAAGATGAGTAACTCCAATTCTTTCAATTGCCCCATTAATCCTTGGTCTATTTCACTTCTAGAAAAGACCTAGTCATAACAAGTAACGCTAAAAAGAGTTCCAGGAACACATCTGCCCCACAGACATAATTTCAAAAAGCACCTGAAACTTAAAAGTGCTTGGGGAATAATTGAGCCTCACAATGAGAACTAGACGTTTCATTTGCCTTACAGAAACCTTTCAAAAGTATTTCAATTCCTAGAGGTGCAGAAGAGGGTCTGAACATGCTCTTCAGAAGTAGATGTTGACGTGAAGACATTAGGAAGGAAGTTCACCTTTTCTTTTAGAAGTTTGTGCATCAAGAATTTCTCATGCAGTTCAAGAGAAGACATTACTAGGAACTGATTCAGTCTGTTCTTCAGCAGGTAGGACAACGTAAACTTTGGAGGTATTTACCTTCACTGTCAATCTCAGAGGGAGCCTAGATGTACAACTTTGATTAGATACCTACCTTTCAAACAGTTAATCAACATTTGATGACATAGATTTTACTATAGGCCATCTAAAAGAAAAAAGATTAGGTGCCTATTTGTATTTTTGGCCACCTAAAATCAGTTTTAAAATTGGACTTTCATTCTTAAGCTGATTTGGATACTTGAAAGAATTCTCAGAAGACAGGTTTCAGGCTTTTATGGCAAAAACTTAATTGGATTTAAAAGGAGTCACTATTATTTGGCCATTTTAAAAGGAAATAAAACAATGGGAAGTTACTCTTTGTATGTGGTGAAAGCAAAAATATTTCATATATTTTCTTTCATACAGGTGGCAGATTGTCTAACGGAAATGCCACACATTTCTAACAGTTACTGACATCTGACAAGCTTGGTGGCAGCTATCTGTTACATAAGCAACTATCTGCCAGATTGAAAATATTAGGGTTTCACAAACAGCTCACCGACAAGGAGAATGTTTATTCAATTTCACAATATTTGTGAACAATTATTTAAGCTAGTAAGCTTAGATCAGGAATACATACAAAAATCAGTCATCTGGGAATGTGATTAATACAGTTTTTGTATACCTGGGACATTTAGAGGCATATGAATTTCATGATACTACCAAACCAAAGGATGTATAAGCCTTCTACTTTATGTCTGAGCACTGACTGATCATACTGTAAAATATGCTGAAAAATAACATAGATGCACCTCAGATATTCAGAGTATGCTTGAAACAAAGATCAATTCAATTAATGAAAAGATTCTGGTGGATACCATTGGTCTTTAAATGAAGTTCATCACGAACGCATTCTATCATAGTTCCTCCATGAAATTATATAGATTATAAACCATTACTGAAAATGCCATGATAGAAATTAATTTCTCTGTTCCTTCAGCTGCATTTCTTTGTGTCAAGGAGAAGAGACATAATAGTTAGTGTCAGATCACAAAATTAATTAACAGTGTCATGGGAAAGATCAGAGGAGAGCAGCATTAAAAGACAACACGACTAGGGTTAAAGGTTAAAAAAATAAAACATAGTTGCTTGGACACAAGAATCATGTGGCTACTTTTTAATTACATGAGAACTACAGAGGACTTTCCAGTAAGATCACAAAACTACATGAATAATGTTAAATATATCCTTATCAGCATGGAATGATAATTAATCCATTTGCATAAAATTCCAGTGTTTCAACTCAAAAACCAGGACAACAAAGAAGTACAATAATGATGTAAATAACATTCTGCATGCCTGTTGTCATGGATAACACAAGTTTTGTACCTAGTACACCAACACTGGCTCTAGTAACACTGCACCTCCTGACAACAGCAGTGACTGTGTGCCAGTCTTCAGTGAGGCCCTGATCCTGTAGGACCTGTCCCCATACTACCTTTATGTGGTGGGACTTGCTCAGTAGGATTGCTCAGAGTATGAATTTCCACATGTGTGTAACTGGGGCAGCACCAAGGTCCAAATGCCATTGTCTATTCTCTGTGGTGACAAATCATAGAGTGGTTAGAGTTGGAAGGGACCTTCAAGATCATCTAGTTCCAACCCCCCTGCCCTGGGCAGGGACACCTCCCACCAGACCAGGTTGCTCAAAGCCCCATCCAACCTGGTCTTGAACCCCTCCAGGGATGGGGCAGCCACAGCTTCTCTGGGCAACCTGTTCCCATGTCTCACCACCCTCACAGAGAAAGATTCCTTCCTGATATCTAATGTAAATCTACCCTCTGATAGTTTGAAGCCAGTATCTTTAAAAAAACAACAACAAAAAAAAATCACCTGCTTTGCATCAAAGATAGCTGGATTGATTAAATATCTCACTGACTTTATTGACCATCAGCAACTTATAAGGCCAGCAGTGAAGTGGTGAAGGAATCTACTTTTATCAGATATAAAAGGTCTTCAACATACAGCTGGGTGGAAGGTGGTAAAAGGTTTCCCAAATACTCTTTAAAAATTTCTTTAATGAATTAGTTGCCCAAAAAGACAGTTTTAATCATCTTTTCAGGTAAGATGGTACAGTGTATTTTAAATTTTGGGTGGGACGTCCAAAATGGTCTAAACAAGGCAGGAATTTTACAAATAACTTCCCCATCTGAACCAGTAACTTTTAACCAGTTTGCATTCAAAATGTTGCATTGAGTCTATATGGGAAACTAAGTGAGGATGGATGAAATACTCTGTTGACACAAATCATGGATTCAGGGTATATACAATACAAACATTAAAGAAATCTGAAATATTTCACCAATTTGATAGATTATCTGTCAAGTAGACAGGGTGATCACTGTTTTCTTCTTCAACTGTAAGACAAGACAAAAATGGGGAAAAATTAGCTGTAGTTAAAGTAATTTCAATCAGCCAAAGTTTTCATGAGATAGGTGTGCCTCAGGCACAGGACTAATGTATGTGACTGCTTGGCTAAGAGATGCAGGCACCTGTAGAAATAACCAAATCTTCTCTCATTTTTAACATAGGAGTTTTTCTGTTTGCTGAAGAGCAAGGGTAAAAACCATGTCCAGAGGGATATCTTAGGACAAGGCACAAATTTTTCATACAGAAGAAAATAATGTGTTTGTTCTTTATTTGCACATTTCTCTCAGTTAAGAGAATTCTAAAATTGCCTGAAAGGGGTCTTCTGAAATTGTAGGGCTTACCCAGGTTCAACAGTGTTGTTATTCCCTACCACAGTGGTGGCAATTTTATTCCACACAGTATTTTTCAAATAAGCTGCCAGTTCTGCTTAGCTCTCTCAGATATATCACTGCCTTTCTTAGGGGGCTCTATAAATAGCAACAGCAGGCAGGAAAATACCACTAAAACTTATGAATTGTGAACTTCGGAGGGTCTTCTCTTTTTGTTAGCACACAAATGACACTTTCACTGATTTGTCTTTAGAACTTCTCATATATTTTGCCCAAAGCACTATGCTTATTTTTAATTTAATTTTTAATTAAAGTAATTAAATTTAATTTTAATTTCTAATTCTGCCTTTTTCTCTCAGTCAAAATGCCACTGGATTTTTTTGGAAAGCAGAGCTCTGCCAGGGCAGGGAAGAGAGAGTTAAGCACAGAGCCCCAGCGCTGCGTGACATGCAGTGGGAGGTTTTAGGAAGTGGAGAAGACAGGATTGATTCCAGCATATCTCCACACACGCCAGGTAAATCCTGTCAGGTGTTTCTCCCACTTTTCATTTCAGGAAAGCTGCATACTTTGGATAACTAAGGTGAGGTAACCTGGGTGGCAGTGTTGATCTGCTGGAGGGTAGAGAGGCTCTGCAGAGAGATCTCGACAGGCTGGATGGATGGGCCGAGACCAACGGGATGAGGTTCAACAAGGCCAAGTGCCAAGTCCTGCACTTGGGTCACACCAACCCCCTGCAGCGCTACAGGCTGGGGGCAGAGTGGCTGGAGCTGCCTGGCAGAAAAGGACCTGGGGGTGTTGGTGGCCTGTGGGCTGAACAGGAGCCAGCAGTGTGCCCAGGTGGCCAAGGAGGCCAACAGCATCCTGGCCTGTGTCAGGAACAGCGTGGGGAGGAGGGCCCGAGAGGTGATTGTCCCCCTGTACTCGGCACTGGTGAGGCCTCACCTCGAGTACTGTGTCCAGTTTTGGGCCCCCTACCATAAAAAAGACATTGAGGTGCTGGAGCGGGTCCAGAGAAGGGCAACAAAGATGGTGAGGGATCTGGAGCACAAGTCTTATGAGGAGAGGCTGAGGGAGCTGGGGTTATTCAGCCTGGAGAAGAGGAGGCTGAGGGGAGACCTTATTGCTCTCTACAACTCCCTGAAAGGAGGGTGTAGAGAGGTGGGGGTCGGTCTCTTCTCCCAAGTCACAGGCGACAGGACGAGAGGAAATGGCCTCAAGTTACGCCAGGGGAGGTTCAGGCTGGATATTAGGAAAAATTTTTTCCCTGAAAGGGTTATCAGGCAGTGGAATGGGCTGCCCAGGGAGGTGGTTGAGGCACCATCCCTGAAGGTGTTCAAAAGACAGGTTGATGTAGTGCTGGGAGGTATGGTTTAGTGATGGTTTTACTTCACATTTCCTAATTAGAATCATAGAATCATAGAATCATTCAGGTTGGAAGAGTCCATCGAGTCCAACCATCTACCCTACTCTACAAAGTCCTCCCCTACACCATATCCCTCAATACCCCATCTAAATGTCCCTTAAACACATCCAGGGATGGTGACTCCACCACCTCCCTGGGCAGCCTATTCCAATGCCCGACCACTCTTTCTGTGAAAAATTCCTTCCTAATGTTCAGTCTAAACCTACCCTGTTGGAGCTTGAAGCCGTTCCCATTGAAGCAAAGCACTTTT